GATTGGCTATACTATATTATATTAATATACGAAGAATGGTCTCATTATGCGCGTTTATACGAAACAATAGATGATTGAATAGACGATTGAATCGGTGCAACGAAATAAGGGTGAAATTGTCGAACCATCCGGTCGGCAACAGGCAACAAGACGAGGTTCGACTTACCTACCGCCACAGGCCATCGCGGAGTGTAGGACGACCGAATGCAAGTGAGACGAGTTGTCTGGTCGAGTCTTTCGCCTGCTCGAGCAGTGGCCACTTTTGCGCTGCTCAGACAGCCGCGGCCTACGTCTCATCGTCTCTGTCTCTGTCTCTGTCTCCGCCGCCTCGGCTAACGGCTACAACCGACAGCAGCAGCCAGAGCCGTCTTTGCGAGCCGACGGCTCGGCGAGCTGCCGACGCAGGCGTGAGTCACCTCGGCCGGACGAGGCCGGCAGCCTGCGTGAGCATAGCTCGACGCAAGCGGGGCCGACACGAACGAGTTCGCGCGACAGGGCTGCCGGGCAGCGCCATTCAGCAAAGGCTCACGCACGCGTGGATGTGCGCATCGGATCGATCAAGACGGCTCGAGGTCGAAATAAGCCTTGCATAGTCAAAAGGGAAGAGAGAGATAGAGAATAAGAGAAGGTGAAACTGCATTGCAAGAGACAGGGTCAATTCGATGCACCAAGCTCGCCTGAAGCACGCAATTTTCGCCTCCTGCAGAGTGTGATTGTGTAATGCGGTAGTCCGAGAGATGCACAAACATGACGGTTGACGCAAAGAAATCAGGCTCAAGATGAGATCGATAATTGGTCTGGTCTAATTTGAGTCCCAAAGACCGAAGCTAGGACCAGCCATGCTGTAATGGTTGCAAAGCAAAGCCCCAAAACAAGACAAGACTTCGCGTTAGCTGCGAGAAGAGTCCAGCTGCGGCTGGTTCCAAATGCTTAATGTTTATTCAGCGACCCCTTTTATGTCTTCAACGAACGAACAAATTTGCCTCAGTCTGGGATTTTCCACTAGTTGCTCACTTCTTCGAAGAGATCCACGCTCCTTTTAAGACGATTAACTGCTGAGGAACTTGTCATATCTTATAGAAAATCTTGCTACTTGCGCACATCGAGGGCTATGATACAGCGCTTACTCCGCGAAACCAAGATTTGTTAACATTCAGGAGACACAGTCCTTGTTTGTAATTGGTCTTGCTACTGGACGTACTGCCTTAGGGGCCTCAAAGAACTTATGTTGTCCGGCGTCAACTACCAAGTCCATACAGCACAAGGAGACTGCGACGACCAAGGCAAAGGCCACGTCATCTTGTGCTTATCTAGCACGTCTTCCAAAATTGCGATGGAACTGATATCTTTGACCCGGAGTCTATTAATAGGTTATCTTGGAGAATGAAGTACTCAAATCCGCCATCAAGGGCTCAAAACAAGACGAAATTTTTTCCGAAATAGGTACTGGCCATGCGGTAGGACTGGGCCCTTCAACCGTCTTGGCATTTAGTCGGAATGTGAAAATTTTCTAGTCTTGCGTGTCGTCCCAATCACAGCTTTCCATTCGATCCCTGCCAGAGGATTCTTTTGTGCTTTTCTGAAGCATTCTTGGATGAGTTTACGCATATGGCCTGTCCCAACCAGATTCCAAAGCCCTAAGAAATCGCTCCAACGATGCGGAATAGGATGGCCTGTGTTATTTGCCCATGTTAAGCG